TGTTCTGGTTTCACAAACTTATCCCATGCCAGCAGTCATCTGTGGCCCCCATGGCAAAGTATGAGTTAAATTAGAGATGTTGCAAGTCACAGCTGGTGTTATGTGTTGGTCTTGAAAGGGGACTTGGCTGTCAAGAGGTACAACTCGTGCTGTTTTGCCATGGAGAGGGTGTATGAATGGAATAAAACACCCATGCCCAGCTGGCAGAACAGAATATAAGAGGTTGGGGCAGGAGGATGCAAGATGAAAGATAACAAGGTTGCTTCATCCAGCATCCTCTTTCCTATTCCTGGCTACTTTCTTTCCCCATCCTTTCACCAGAAGGGTAAAGCAGGACAAGCAGGGATGTAGGTGTGCACTGAACAAGGAGAGACAACTGCATAGCCTCTTTCCTCTGGCGTGATGGGTGGCATCAGCCAAAAAGATCTGGGAGGCACTAGGACACTGATATTTTCTTTCCCACTTCTGAGAATCACTTTAAAAAGTGGTTTTAAAAATGACAGAGCTATGATATCAGAAATCACCCCAGGCCCACAACCTACTCTTACACAGGCTCTGTCCAGTGGCAAGCACCCTCCCAAAGCAGCCTTTATGGTTTATTTTGCTCAGTATTGAGGCAACTGAGTCCTCGTCCATGTTATTCTCATCCCCTACATGATAAGGGAACACATATGGCCACTTGCCTGGAGCCCCCATGTAGTAGGAGCCTCATAGACCCATAGTATCCTGTTACCACATTGCTTTGCTGACACTCCCTTATGCATAATGCGCCTGTGATTACTTGCTAGAGGCAAGAAGCAGAGGCCACTCCTCTCCTATGCTCCTTAAATAGTTAAATGCATTGGTCAGCTGGGAGCAAGCCTGACAGCTGAAAGAGGTGCTGCTCCCAGGACAGAGCCAGGTCTGCATGTAAGTAAGCTGTTTGATAGGTACAATATTTCATAGCTGTTATACTGCCTGGGGTGTCTGCAACTTCCTCTAAATAGTGATAAGTAGGCACTGGTTTAAATGTTCATTTCAATTTTTCCATTATTTTGAATGTATTTACTGGATCCCTTTTTTTTTTTTTTTTTTTTTTTTTTTTCCCCTAAAGTGTTGTTCTCTGAAAATTAGCTCTGTTTAACATTCAAGCTACCAGTAATTTAAAAAAAAAAAAATAGCTAGGTATGGCATTATACATGTAGCTCTGTGGGTGTTTTTATAATTCAGCATGTGAGCGTAGGGAGAGGACAAGTTTATACACATATATCTGTGTGCATGGATTTATGCCTACTTATGAGACAGACACTAGTGATGTGTATCTCTAGTTGATGTGTGTGGGACACACCTTTGCACACACAGAGAAAATGGTCAAAATAGAAAAACAATCCTTAGGTTGTGGAAAAGCAGTGGAGAGGGGAGTTGGTGGAAAGGGGAACAGTTCCATCATGGAAAAAAAGGCTGATTTCTAACCTGTGTATCTAAAATGATGATGAGGAAAAAGTAGCAATATAGATGTTGGAATCCTGGAGGAGTGCTGATGTGGCATCCCAGTATCTTTCCAGCATTGTCTGGGGGGGTGTGGGGGGTGAATGTGCCTGTATACACAGGCCTTACTTGTACAAAGCCATCTGAAGACTGTTCTCTCCTAGAGGCCTGGTGTGGCACAACGGCAGCCACCAATTCTTCTCCTAGCTGCCACTAAAGGCAGATCCTACCCTAGACTTCTTTCTCATTTTGGAGTGAACACTCAGGTTCTGCCTTTCAGTGGCGTTGCACTTGTGCTTGGACCCCACAGCCTGCTGGTTAAAATTCCTCAGTGTGCTGTGTGCCTGGCCTGAGGAAAATTAGGCAGCTGTTAAAGTTAACAGGCAATACTCTGCCCTTCCGGCTTGTTACGTCATTTGCATCAAGCCTCTTAGTACTGTTTTCTGGGGATTGGTACCTGTTGTGTTGTTTTTCTGTTTTATTTTGTATGAGAGGGACAATTGTTAGACAAGCATAAATGCATACTCTTCCCTCGCCATCCCCCCTCTCCCCCCATGTTTTCTGTACAGGCAAGATGTTAATGGAGCGAAGGAGCACATGGCACCGTGATACCCACACTTGCAGATATTGTAAGTGCCAGTCCAACATTTAACTAGTTTCGCTGTTCCAGAACAGAAAATACTATATTCCTTAGAAAGCAGTGTCTGAGGAACTGCGTATCAAAACACTGAGCTTTTGTTTTCAGTTTTAAAACCCCAACAATTTGTACACATTGCTAAAGGACCAGCTCCGCTCCAGTGGTGGCAGGAATTGGAGAGGTCATGCCAAGAAATTCCAAAAGGCAGCACGGAGCTGTGGCTCCCAACTGGAGATCATCTTCCTGAACGTGAGAAGGATGGTCCGTCTAGCTGCTGTCCTATCTCCAAGGGTCTGGAGAAGAGCTTGAGGTGACCCATAAAGCAATACAATGAGTGAAGAAGGTGGCCCTCAACAAAATGCAGGCAATGTAGGCACTGGAAGTAATAAACATGGGTAAAAGCATTCAAAGCTTAGCCTCACTTTTATATGATAGCAAATGAGCATAGTTGTGGCAACTGGGTACAGGATAGTCTAGGGGTGGGCAGAGGGTGGGTTGTCTGGGTTTTTTTGCAGTGAGATTGCAGAAAGTTAGGAACTCCATCTATCAAGAAGACTAAGGACCACTGGTGTATCTCTGAACTTTGGTCCTCTGCAATGTGTTGTAGCTTGTCATAGTCAATGACAATGACTAATGAGCCACAAAACCCAGATCAGCCAGTATAGCAGAATAGGCTGGAGAGGCAGAGAAGGGAAATGTAGGTTTGGGGAACAACAGAGAAAATCTTGTTCTAAGGAAGTCAATTTACTTTCCATTAATCTTTTTCAGAATAAAACTTTCACCTAGTATTCAGCCAAGCTATAGATCACTTTTTTTCAAGTTGTGCCCTCTGAAAGGGGAACACCAAGACAGATTTCGCTTCTGCGGAGTACTGTGATCACTGATTTTTATTGCAGCCAAGTAGATGTAGCCAGACTTGGCTGGGGCACAGAGAAGAGGAGTTTTGTAATCTACAGGCGGTTTACTTGTATCTGGCTTGGAATCTGGAAAGAATCTTGCCTTTCTATTTTTCTCTATAGACCAAAAAAACCTGGTTAGCTAAAACCTATACTCTACCTGAACCATGTGGTCCCATACACCTACTGTTGATGCAATTAATTATATTCCCTGGTGTTATCTCCATCTCCTGTGCTGTGGTTGTAAATCTCCTCACACCTCTGTGAATATATCCCATGTAAACTCTACACTTGACTCACGCAGCTGCCTGTTGTGGTTATTTGGCTATTAATAGATTCCAGGCAGACCAGTCACGACCCAGCCATCAGGGTAAACACATTCATTAAAAGGTAATAGTTGCAAGAAGGAGGAAACCTAACCAGGAATAGCTAACCTTAATCATCCAGGATGTTCAGGCAATTTCAGACACCCAATCGGCACTTCAGTGGTCCAGTGATGGGCTTATCCTAGCTGGACCAGAGAGGAAATGCCTGACTTCCCTGAGTCAGGTGTAGTGAACATCCCAGTGTGAGGCACAAGGAGGGAAGATAGAACATCTCCTGCCACCAGTGCCTGTAAGCAGGATGAGAAGGGGAAGGAGGCTGCCAGCTGGGGATGCCAGCTGCCCTGACCTGGGGTTCAGGCCACTATTTTTTCCAAGAGTAACCCTTGTTTTAATACTACCAAATGTCTCCAGGGTGACTAGAAGGCAGAGCTGCTCTGAGGGACCTTTCTCTAGGCTGCATCAGAAATTTTTCAGTGTTTTCTATTCTCTTATTCATACCTAGCTCTTTAAATGGTTTCTTGTATGAGATTTAAAGGGAGTGATCAAATCCTCAGGTATTTTAAATCACCAGAGCTCTTGTTGCAATATGTGGGACTACTGCCTCAGTTTGTATAGACCCTTTGCAATGGGAGAGCTACACAGATTAATCAGTGCTGCCTAAAAAGCAAGGAAAACTGCAACAGGGAAAGTGAATGACTTTAAATTAGCAAAAGTTGCATGTTTGGGATGAAACTTGGCTTCGATTTACAGCTCAGCAAGACGTTATAGGCAGATTTGCACAAGGCTTTTCTAAGATTATCACATGCTTGCCAAAGAAGGGGATTTCGGAGAACCAAAAATTATACATAGATTTGTATCAAAATTGGAAAATCACTGCTGCCAAAAGGAAAAGCTTATCTTTTTGGATGTGGGATTGGGAGATGGAGTCAAAATTTTTTATCTTGAGATTTTTCAGAATGGAAGGATTTCATGGTTTGCTTAGTGGCAATGATTTAAGTTCCTCTTGTGCTAAAAATTACTTTGGAAAAAGCTCATAGAGAAGACAACCTCAAAAAACATAATTTGGCAGAAGATAATGTCTCTCTCAAGTTTCTTTCTCAGCAAGATAACAAACTTACATCAGTTTGGGTTCATTTAGTTCCTTCCCACAGCCCTTTTTCAATTCAGCAGGTTTTTACTGTGGATGATTTAGTGTGAATGGCCCTTCCACTCAGGAGCCAGGGCTTTAATACCATTACTGTTCTCCTCTCCCCTTAACAGTGTTATTGTTTGAATTATACTGGTACCTAAGAATGAGTAACTGTTTCCATTGAGATAGTCGCTGGAATTGGCAGCTTTATTCCTGTGTCTTGATTTTGACGCTAGGTCACCAGCAAAACAAAGTCAGCCTAAGGGAGTAGTATGTGCCCGTGCATGTACATGCACGTCGTTCATGCAGAGAGCAACAGCTTTTGATTCTCTGAATTCTTGTGCTAACTTGCCACCAACTTTCACCATGGCTCCCTGCATGCAAGACATGCAGCTAGAAAGCTGAGTGCAGTTAGCTACACAGCAGAGGAGAGGAAACAGCGTGAAGGACCTGAACCAGAAGACACGAAAGGGCAGGTGTGCATTAACTAGCTAAGTTGGTTCTTTTGTTTTGCTTAGCTTTTGCAGACAGAGTGGAAGCGTAAGATGGCTTTCAGCAACCACACAAACAGCAGTTCAGTCTTGCCGAATTTACTCCACATGTTTGTGGAACAAAAGAAGAACCTTCGGTTCAATAATTTCAGCAACCCAGCCTTGGAGATGCAAGAGGAGATAATGGCCTCATTTTATATCCTCATCATCGTTGGGTTTTTTGGCTTTCTTCTCTTTGTCATGATGCTCAGCAATATTGTTTCCAGCAAGCCTGAAAACTACATTGACTATCTCTATTCTGGGAAGCTTAACCATCAGAGAAGCAAGGTGGAGCTTCCAGGAAAGGAGAGCAAAGACACTTTTTTTATCATCAACAGCACCGCCTTACTGGAGCTGCAAAGGCAGGATGGCAAAAACAACCATGGATCTGAGGTGCCAAGCACAGACACAGTCCTGAGGAATGTATGAAAATGGATTCTTTCTATTGTCATTCTGTTGTGCGTACAGAGCCTAAACAGGGATATTTTTCATTCGTGAAAGCAAGAAATGAGGAGCTGTGCCTGGACAAATGCAGACTGGTCTTGTGCAAGCTTCCCACATGCAGCTGTGAAGGTACCAGAGTGTAACCTGTGTTATTTCAGCCCCAGGCTGTTGGAGAAGAGGCTGGAAATCATGTCCTTGCTGGTCTAGCAATTTTATGACTGTTTCTACCATGTGTTTTTGTGGCTTGCCTCTTGGGAGAATGGAAGGCCTGCCTTTGCATGCTGTTGCTTCAAGCAGGGCCAGTACATTTCCAGCTGGAGCACTGTTGGTGTGCCTGCTTGCTGTTATTATTTATTCATTTATTTATTTGGGGGGTTGGAGCTGCCAGTGAGCCCACTGGGTGCACACCCTGCAAGCAGAAACCGCCACTACAGCCTCTGTGTTCGCCCTCACTGCCATGCTGGTCATACAGAGGTGGAGGCAAGCTGACCCATGCCCAGCCCTTCTGGAAGGAAGGTTATTTCAAGCGTCTGGAGGCACATCTCAGACTTGAACTTGTTAGCTCGCTTGGCAAGCTTGGTCTGCAGTGGGTTTTTGACAGTGGTCATGCATTTCTCAGCAGCTCTTTTCCTACATGTCAGCCTGTTACCAAAGTCCAGGACAATGAAGAGGGCCAAGACATCCTGACATCTCCTCAGGTTCCCTCCCAGGGCTCACCTGGACAACATTGGAGCTGACAAGCCACAGCTGTAGCCCCCAAGGTTGTGCCACCATTGAGTCGATAATCTCCAACAAATTCTTTCAGTGTTTACTGCTAACCCCCTCGTCATGAAAATCCACTGAGCCCTCAGCTGCTGCTGCTTCCTCAAGTGGTAGACAGCAAGCAGAGGGGTGCTGTGGTAGTTTTAGGGTGTCTTCTGCAGGCCACCTAGCCTCAGCAGACACAAGAAAGAGGGGTTTTCCCACCACATGGCTAAGGGGTGTTCAATCCATGTCATGTAGAGCCTTGGCATACAAGAGTCCAGGATGGGCAGCTGTGGAGAGGCAAACGTTGGCAGTGGGCTTCAGCTTGCTATACTTGGTCCATGCATTCACTGGAAAAAGCTCTGGAGCCTGCAAATCAAAATGGATGGAAACTGGTGGTGCAGATACTCCAAGATCTTTAAGACATTTTCTTACTGAAGCAAAATCCTATGAAAACCTATCAAATTGCATGCCTGTGGGATGGGTCTTGCTGGTGCCACTGAGCCTCCTTTATGTTGTTTTGTATGTTTGCTTTTTGTTACTGTTAGGAAAAAAAGTTCTCCACAATTTTGTACCCTAGGAAGCATTATTTCTTAACTTTTCTTAAACAGTGTTTTACTCTATCTGTAGCATCATGTTTTGATACTATGATCTCTTTCTTTTGTTTTTATGTATCCTTTTCTGCCATGATACAGTAGTATTATTGTGGGATTTTGCCAGTTTGGTCCAAGCCAACTGCCTGGAAATGATTTACTTCACGTGGGTTGTATCCTGGGAGTTTCCAGAGCCTGATCTTGTAAGACATATTCCAAGGCTGATATTCCAGCTGATAGCCAAGATGAAATCCACACCACTCTCTTGGCTTTCCACGCTGCTTCTTTGAATTCCAGAGATTCAGCTTTCCAACACAGACATCTCCTTTTTTGGACAGGTACATATTCCCCAGACACTGTCTCCAGCAGAGGCCAATTAGGCAGTTGAGTTAGTTTTGGACTCCATTGCCTTTGGCTTCATTACCGTGTCTGGTTTAATAACTATGCGGTTTGAGCCAGGATCCACTGTTTATGCTCACTGCTCCTGACTGCATTCAGTAGCCATGCTTCCATTGCTTCAGCTCAGCTATTCAGATCTGAAAAATGAGAGGTGTTTTAGATAAAACATTTGCAGTTTCAAGTTTGTTCCTTCTGCCCAGCATGGGTGTTTTCCAGAAGGTGGTGGGTATGACTGTCCATTTTGGAAAAGGATCAATTTCTGCCCAGTGCCAGCATTGAGAAGAGACTTTAGTCTGACTTCTAGCAGTAGTGACAATTGCTCCTGCTTTGTAGACCCAGTTTATCATTTTTTCCAGTCATGCAAATGTGTCAGGAAGCAGAGTCAAATTGCTCTTTCTATCATGAGTGTTAGATACAGGTTTCAGACAACCATCACCCATGCCAGGTTCTGTGCAGTGAAATTTCACCTCCTGCTGCAGTGGCTGCTGCTTTTCTGATACAAGGGAAGCACCAGGCTGGAGGGTGTACTCCACAGCCATGGGAAGTGCTCTTTGCCTCTCTGCAAACCAAGCTTCTGAAAACTAATTCACTGATGATGTATGACAGAAGTCTACTGATATCCTCTTTGGTGTCCCCTTGGGGACAAGCCCATTACTGCTCACACCCTTACAGGTAAGCAGCTCTTGCTGGCAGTCGGGTGGGGATGAGGTGAGCCCTCCCTCTCCCTGTGTTCACACTGCAGCTGGGGCTCTACATCCTGTATTGAGAGCTAAAGTCAGACCTCTACGACTCAGGTAATGGAGCTAATGGCTCTGTCCCCTTCCCAGACTCAGGCACACCCCTCAGCAATATGCCAACCCCTTGGCCTTGAAGCTTTCCCTTATGTTTTTCCTTCCCCACCTCAGGGACACCCATACGTGTCTACATATGCTTTCAACAACATCTGATGAAAAGCTTGAACTCCTAAAGATGTCCCATTCATACAGAGTCTAGGCAATAGATAGCCAAGTATTTCTACCTGAAATAGTGGCTGTGGTTAGGCAGAAGCTGTGACTGTGATGCTACCAAGGGAATGGCTGATAAGCTCAATGTTGGCAGAGAGCCCCTAATATTGGCAACCAAATTTCATCAGTTTTCACAAGGTGGTCTTTGGGGGGAAATGCCAGCAGTTGTACTAGCTCCATTCTGAGAAGTTTATGGTTCTTACTTACATATTGGCTTAATTTATTTTCTGAAGTTTACACCTTTTTCTGTTTCCATCCTGAGGCCATCTGATTTTGGTGAGTGCTTCTCTTATTGGTTCCATTGTGGATCACGAGCTAAAATTACACACTTTTGGAAAGTCTCATTTGACACCAGAAATACTATTTAGCATGGGACTTCAGCTAGTGTTCAGGACTTCATCAGACAGCTAGGAGGGAAAGTAGAGTATTTAAATTGGGTATGGTATTTGTTAGAAAAAGGATTCTAATTTTTCTTACTCCATATAAGACTGGAAGAGAACCAAATTCCCTGTAGAATAATGTTTTCAAGTGTTGGTTTTGGAAAAAAAAAATAATTCAAACTTACAAAAATTTTAGATAAAAATAAAATGTTAAATTTCAAAATTAGCAACTTAATTTTATCTGCTACGTGTAATATAATACAGCAGTAAAAGCATTCACTGGTTGCCCAACATCATGCATACTCTTTATGTGTATTTCATTATGTTCTGTATTTCATTATGGTTTTATCTGGCATTTTAAAATAAAGGGTTTGTGATGATTTTTAGCTTGCGTATAGAATGTGGTGACTGGTAACCTAATAACATAATTACTACTGAAATGAGTAATTGGTATGTAACTGATAATTGGTATCCTAATTGCTTCATTAATAGGGACTTTGTTCATGGTAATTGGTAAATTTGTTATTTAGCTAAAAGTGGTACAATAGAATTTGGTGAAGCACCATAAAAGTGCATGGGGTGTGTGTGTGTGTCACTGCTCAGCCCCGACTTGTGTACACAGGCAGTGATGGAGGAGCTGGTAGCAGGCCTGGGCTAGACCTCCCACCTCCTTCCCAGGGGGAACATGAGGCCACTAAGCCTGGGCATCCCTGTGAAACGCTCTCTGTGCTACTGAGCCCACCGTCCCACACCCACAGACAGCCTGGGGGGCAGGAACCACCCACAGCCAGTGCCCTGCATGTGGGCTGCGGGGTTGCAATGGCTGAGTGCGCTGGGGGCGGTGGAAAAAGACAAGTGGTCCCAGCGCTGATGCCCAAACCCCATCCTTCAGGGCACTGCCTTACTGCCAGGGGCAGGTCTTGCTGGTAGGTCAGCAGGGCGAGAGCAGACTCTGGTGCAGTGACTGAAGGGTAAGAGAGCAATCGAAAGTGCCTTCTCCCAGATCCCAAGCGCACTTGTGGGGCAGGGCCTACGCCCAGAAATTTTGCACTGTGTGGCCTTGATAGGGAATCTCAGAAGTCTAAAATGACAAAGTTTGGAAAGGTCCCTGCCCCAATGTGCTCACTGGCTGTGTAGACATGTGGTGGGAGGGAAAAGAAGCAAAAAGTAACACAGCAGCCTAATGGTAGCACAGGAAATAAAATACGTATTTTTGCATCTCAGTCCACTGCCTTATGTCTGCTGCTCAAGTTTTTTAAACGATGTTGAGATGCTGGGACCATGAATAATAGTTTTTAAAGCAGGTTAACAGGTGGGTTTATGCCCTATGTGTATGGGACAGAAGAGAATACACTTCTCAAGTAGGTATTCTGAAAAGGCTATGAAAGCAGTCCATCCCTCCCATCTGTCTACATATCAGCTGCATCACCATTGGTAATTTCGTAACCAGTTAGTCTCAGACCAGTTCATGGGGGTTTAAGGAGACAGGGCCATCCAGAGACGCAGGCACAGTGATGCTACCTGACAGCATAATAGCATCACCATGTCCTTCTGGGATAGCGCCACAATACAGTAACACAGACCTTGTCTGTGCCTAAGGCCTCAGAATCAGAAAGGCTGGTTTGCACCTCCTTCATCCACCTTGCAAAGTCCCTTCATCGGCACATGAAAGCACAGACAAGTGCTCAGCCTAAGGAACCAGGCTGTCTTTGTCACTCTGCATTTGCCTTGATGTTGCAAAACGACAAAAGCCTGGAGTGATAGAGCAACGGTTTCAGGTCTGTTCACTATAGGGGGTCCAAAGTGATGAACATCAAGCCTGATTTTCCTGAGCAGCCCCAGTGGTACCTACATGGGTGGGCCAGTTCAGAAGAGGACTGTGCTTTTGAAGCGCATCTCCTGACTGCTGCTGCTGTGCTTTGTGTTGCCTCATGGAGCCGTCTGAGAGCACACAAATGAACTGGGCACCACAGCTTGCAGCCTGTGAGCAGCTTGTGGGGGATGGCAGCACAGAGCTGCTGCTCACCACTAGTGACAGGGGCAGGTCTGAGAAGGAGAAGACAGGCAGTGTTAGAGCCATCCTTAGCCTGGCACAGCCAGGAGGCCTCAGGGACAAGCCTGGAGAGGCAGGAGAGAATGGGGAAGGAGAGGGGAAGCCCTACCTCACTTCTGTACCCAGGGACACTGCCTGGATGTTGTTCCCCTGCCTTGTTTCCTACTGGCGTCCATTCACAATCAGAAGGTAACTTGAAAATAAGAGTACCAAAAGCAGCATGCTCTTTTTGTGTCTATCATTTCCATCTCATGCACAATTAAGTAAATCCTTTCTGGAGAGCAGACAAGGAAAAACCACCTTCAATTTAGCTAACAGGAAATATGATTTGCAGTTCCAGTGGGTGTCTTGGGTGGGATGCTTGTCACAGGCACCTCTTGATAGTTGTTTCGACACTTTACATCCAGTTCTTGAACAGTGAGGTCTCTAAATCAGCATTTTGGGGGACCTCGGGAACTAATCAGGCCTCTAAATCTGAACTTTTCAAAACTAATAAGCACCCAATAACTCCAGTAGGACTACTCATGTCAGTATACCATTATGCTCCTGTTATACATTTATTAAGGACAAAAGATAACAAAAAGAGAAAGGTATACCACAGTGTGAAATAGTAATAGAGATGAGTCAATATTATTTCATGTTGTATTCTCATATGAATAGGTATTGCATATTCAAGAATTTTTTTTCATGTGTGTACAGTCTGAATCTGCCATAATTTTGCATCTGGCTAACAAACCATATAGGCTTCATTCTGGGGCTATACCCTTCTTATATCAAATTTTCAGACTTCTGTTCTCCACTTGATGATGCTAACATGGTGTGCCCCATCACTCATCTGCCTCAGCAAGGAGAACATCCAAACAGCTGAGTTAGACCCAGCTGGCCATGTTAATTTTCAGACATTTTTTGACTTCACAGTTTTCCACTGTGTTAGGGGGAAGGAAAACTAATCCAGAGGGGATAACGCAGACCGTGGGGTGTCTCAGTTTCAGAGGTGGGCAAGGATGCATGCCATCATCAGAGACTGACACATTTGTGCGTTCAGCTCCATCTGGCAGGCTGATGATGCTGCCAGCATTCACTCCCAGCCTTGTAGGTACAGCTAAGTGTGAGCAGTTTAACAGTCTTGTACTAACAAGCTTGTTCCTGCAGTAAAATTCTGCATGTGCATCTGCAGGAAGGAGACACAGCTAAAAAAACCAAATGGGTCAAAATAATCTTCATTTTCTGCTGCTCCACAGCTTTCCCCAGCTAAACACTTGCCGCTGTTGGTTTGCCTGTGCACACATGCACATGTGCACACATATGCGCACACACACATGCACATGTGCACACACACACATCTTCCCCTGGCTGTTTCAATCTCCCTGGGCCAGCTGCAGCCCCACTTTGCCACATGCTCCTGTGCCCCTGTTTTACTTGCCATGACAGCAGGGTCGTACCAGTCCAGCCTTCTGCTCTGACCTTCATTTCAGCCTGTGTGTTCATATAAGACCACACGAGAAATTTTCTTTTTCCCCCATAATCCCTTCTGTTTCTCTTAAGGTGTTGCTCAGCCTTGGAGGGGGTGATGGCATTGGTGCTGGGCTCAATGCAGATCCCTCAGGGGTTTGTCAGTAGGGCCAGCACAAAATGGAGGACTGGTTGAACAAAGTAGGAACCTAAGAGGACTCTAGAAACCAAATTACTCCTAAAAATGCCTCACCTCAAAGTGATGTCTGAGGCATCACTTATTTCTTTCCCCTCCAAGGCCTGGAACTGGGCAGGTTTAGCATGATGGACCTTGCACAGGCTGCTGTGCTGTGCTCTGTGGGGGTCCAGAGGTCCTCCTTCCCCCCATAACAAGACAACCAGGGTTCAAGCCCCCTCCTCCACCTGGGAGGATTTCAAGGCCACATCTTCCATGAGGCAACATGCTTGGCAGGGAGAGAGGGAATGGTTTCTACCACTGGTCTCAAAGCTCAGGCACTGGCTCACTCTCCATGCTGACTTTGGGCAGCTCTTTCCTCCACATGTCCATCCCCCTGGACCCCTTTTGGCGGTGCCTGGCTGGCCCACAGATGTACACAGAGCCCAAGCACTCACCCAGTGCTGTGAGAGAAGGAACTACGATGTTCAAGATGAGCAACGCCCCAATGCCAGAAGCCGCTAGCTGCACAGCTGCAGCCTTCCCATCCTGATGGGACCATTGTTTTCTAAGATGCCTTTGGATCAGCCACCTGAAGCCCCTGCTGATGCTGTTTTGGTTGAGTGACACCAGGACAACAGGTGCATTGTGAACTCTGCAAGCATCCTTCATGAGCCCTGAGACATCAACACGCAGCGCTTCGCAAATCTGCTCCTCAGGCACGTAATTTGATGCTGCTTCAAAGAGGCAGTGCCTGCAGTATTTAAGAGCTCTGAGGATACTGCAGCTTAATGGTTTCAAAGCCATTTTTGTAGGGGAAACAGATATTCCAGAAAGTCTTAAAACAGGAGAAAAACTATCCAAGGAGGCCAGACCGTGCTGGCTGGTATGGATGCTTGTTCATGCTGGCAACAACCAAGGGCAATAGCAAACTGCTATTAAGAAGTGATCTGCCCATCCAGTAGCAAAATGGTATCTTTCAGGAGTTGTGTGAATCTCTGACCATGTCCTGTGGGAAGTGCGTAATTGTGATGAGGGATAAAAATGAGCTGATGTGTGTTGGGGAAAAAGGTGGTAAGGAGCCAGAGACGGGAACTCTGCCGTTCCACCAGAAATCTACATGTCCAGCATTGAGTGTTGCCCTAGAGTTGCTAGAGCCAATAGCCATGAGCTCCTTGTGCCTTTTTCTTAGGCATCTCTACCCTATGGACATTGCCTGGTTTTCTTTGAAATAGTTTATTATAAACAGGAAGGACTTTGCCCTGAGGTCTATTGAGAGGACCCACTCCTCTAGGATATCCTCTTCAGTGACTCATTTGTTAAAGGAATAGAGAAGATGACCCCAAACAAATGGAAGGTAGCGATTAACAGAGTGAAGAGATCGGAGAACTACTACCTTGACACACCTTCTTAAATAGTTCTTCCTGCAAGTCAGGCTTCAAATGTGATTTGATTGGTGTTGAATGAGTTACCCTGCTCCAGCCCTGCCAAGCTCTTTCCTTCAAATAGTGTAAACCAAAAAACCCACAGGTTAATAGCATTAATAAAAGAGATAATTTTAAATCCAAACGTTTCACTTTAGGTGTATTCCATGACAAGGTTCATATGCACAATACTTGCACTGAGAAGGGACAGTTAATTTGCCTTATCACAAAAATGGGCCAAAGTGTGCCTAAGATCCAGTTTAGCCAGCCTTCTGCACAAATTCCTCCGTTATAGGAGTCATGAGACCATGCCTCAGATGTAAATGCCCTCAATTTCCAGAAAGACTGGGCTGCAAAATGAATTCTGTAGGTCAAGCCTGTCTTTGACCCCAGTAGGAGATCTGCTCTTGAGCAACGAATATGCTAGACCGTGACTCACACCAGAGTCCACAGCTTAAAGAAGTCTGAAGAATTTAATGAGACTTTCCCATCATATTCACATTAAAATCTGATATCAGCTCAGTAGTTCATTATACTGAGTACCTTGCTTCCAACAGTGGTCTACAATAAACATTTCAGTGACAGGTAAAAGGAATCTTTCTAAAAGGGAAGCCCCTTTCTGAGTCCTAACAATTAGTAGTTGGTTCAGGCTTTAAAGCATGAAGAGTTTAGTCTCTCAGGATAAAATACGGCACTCATAAGTGGAGATTTTCTTTAACCATGACATTGATTACTGAGATATAATGATTTTTCATGGAATTGAGTTCAAAAGATTATTTATGGGTGATGCAAAGTACTATATCTCAACAGCAGTTTTTTCAGTTTCACTGAACACTTTCCTGGGTTTTTGAGAGTGGCTCCCAATTTACATTCTCTGTGTTGCTCATTACTGGGTATATGTTTATTGTGTACTTCCTAGAGAACTAAGACCATAAAAATATAAATAAGTTATGAGACAATTTGCAGGTTCACTAAAACATCTCAATACGCTGAGGCAGATCTGTGCAGTTTTTCTCCTGAGTGTGGAAACCATCTAAATGAGCATTGTAATTTGGTGTGGCAGAGACAGCTAAAAAGGGAGTCTCACCTACCTACCTTCAGAAGAATCCATGCATGTAATTTTCTAGAGCTGTGAATATACAAATAACTATCTTTTCTCAGCTTCATAATCATCAGCAAAAATCTGCTCATTTTCTACAAATATGGATGTAGCAGAGACTGGAAAATTAGGTGCTTCAAATGCAAGAAAGAAACAGTGGGGGAAAAAGGGGAGACTGAAGAGGGGCAGGAATGTTTTTATTGTCCTGGTATCAGGGCCCTGAACATAATTTCACATTGGCTTGAAGCAGCAATTGCTCCACTAAATATCGATGAATATGAAGTGGTGTGAAATCAAGCATGAGGAAAGAAATAGGTCTGCTGTCTCTTTACCACAAGGGTAGGCAGTAATTGCATAGTAGCTTAGTTTTCTTAAGAAACAAATGATGCACATCCCATTTTCCCAATGACTGTTTACCTTCACCCGATGACACTGCACTATACTACCGGGGAGAAGTAACAGTGCACTATAATCAAATCAGCACAAACCGCATGACTTCATTGCTGTGTTCTGGATTCACGTGAAGAAGAACGAGACCAAACCTGAATGGAGCAGAGTCCTGGACTGCTGCCTCACTGCAGCTCAGCCTTACCAGTCTCTGCTGCCATGGCTTACGCAGATGCAGGTTTAGGGCTGGACTGCAACACTTCTTCATTGGTAGGGTGTGTCTTCTGCCATCTGTAATTCGCAGTGGAATCCATGGAACCAGGCACAGAATCACCTGCTTTCCATCCATTTTAGCAACAAGGAAGTATTTGTGTCACAGGAATTTATCAATCTTTCCTGTTCTGTATTCTTTGCTAAAACGAGGGTGACGCCTCCATGAAGGGTTTCATGGAAACAAGCATGAGGAAAGAGGAATGGTTTGGTGCCACGTCTCCCAGAGAGCGAGGGAGAAATCCCTTTCTTGTAAAGGGCTGGGAAAGCCATGATAAACACCTTCACTCTTCCCAGCCTCCAACTGGGAGGCTGAGGGCTGTCAAAACTTTTCTACCCAGTCCTATTTAATGTGTGTGGAAACCCATTGGGCAGGAAAAAGAGCTTGAGTCTGAAATCAAATGAACTTTGGTATTTTATATAAAATCCTCTGAGATGAGTCCTCTTCTTTCTTCCTCCCTCCCCTTTGCTGCTGCATAAGGGTAATTACAACTCATGTTTTCTACAAAACGTTGTAACCCTTTGTACCGAAGAAAAATATTATGGCTCATACAGTTCTGACTCAACTGGTAATTTAGGATGACAAGCAATTCCTTTAACATATGACTAAACAAGCTAGGAGGATGTTACCAAATAGCAGACACCTTATTCAAGAGCACTTGAAATAGCACACATGAGTCTAATATCTTCTTGGTAGGCTTTTAAATACCTATTATTTTATTAGGTTTGCTAGCAATAGCTCTTGTAGTGAGGCTCAGTACACTTGACCATTGAAGGATGTAAAAACAAATCTCTTTGCTCCCACTCACGACTCTGTGACTGAAATGTGCCACTAGAATAAAATGATTAAAGTATCTTTGCATAAAAAGGAGAGGCAGATGCAAATGCATATGTTGATGAAGAAGCTTGTCAGATGTCCCTCTGCTCGAAGCTAGCTGGAATGCAAATCACCTGAATTTTCATGATGTCTCATTGACTAATTAAATCTAAATGCTTTCCCAAGCCTCATCTTCATGGAAAAAACCCACCTCTTTTCCTCCAGCACATGAAGCAGGCCTGTAATGACTGGCTCAACATCTTTTTCCCCTATTTTCAAGTCCTCCATCTAATAGCATGCTGCAATCCCAGGGTACAAGCCAGGGATGTAATGACGGGACACAAGGTGTGAGCTCTTTGGCTGAGCAGGTAGAGTGGGGACCATTCTGTGTCATGCCTGAGAACTGGGAGAAGGCTGGCCAGGTAGTGGAAAGGCAACCACCATCGCCCAAAGCCCAGCTTCTGTCTCTGTGAACTTGTTCCTTGACATTTCCTTCTGCAGTGACCATGTGGAGGAGATATGGAGAGAAATGCACAGAGGAAAGAAGGAGGGACACAGGAACAATGTTCTATGCAACAAATGCAAAATAAGAAAACTGTTTTAGAAAATAAATATATGTAAGGCCCCATTTATATGACTCAAACTGCACTTAACTGTCAGCATCTGGCATTTCTTGTTGGCTAGCTCTAAACCTCCTCAAATCGATGAGAAACACTAAGCCAGGAAATTAGCCTGAGCTTAGGCCAGAGGAATATGAGTCACAGCAAATCAAAAGGGCCATAGGACTGGGAAAGTGCCACACCATCAGAATCTGAGGCACTGGAGAGCAAAACCAACCAATATGAGGAAGTCCAAGGGAAAAAAGAGACTAATAAGAAAGGATAGTCACCCATGCTGTGTTTCTAGTGATCAGCAGGAAGCAGCTATATACATTCTCTCCTCTGTGACAGCCATCTCAAGAGCCTTCGGATAGACTGGAAACAGTCTCGTGGTGAAGTAGCCTTTGATGCTGGTACACACAGACATATTCAATAGCTCTCTCATCAAATTCAACGTGGGATAAATCGATGCCATATGGAGATACACATGAATACATGCCTAATCACTTCTTTTTGCCCAAACAAACTTTTTCTCTACAGGAAAATATGAGGAGTCCATTGCTATGGGGATAAGTGTTCTGGCAACTACCAGCTATTTCTGTTATCAGCTGGAGAGGGGCCAGCTGGTACTGTGATTATCCCTGAGATTGGTACACACATATGCTGATCAAGGTCCAGCTAAGCCTAGATGATATGCTAGGATTGCTCCAGTAGCCAAGACAAACCAGCTTCAAAAACCAAAGCCACACTGTGGAGTGATGTGGGTTGTGTGTAAACATCCAGCCACCTCCAAGTCCCCAGACCAGGTAGTCACTTACTGTCCGCCTATCTGAAAATTGCTTTTGGCACATGTCCGGGGCGGAAACATCAACTCAGGTTTTAGAAATTTTACCTGATCTCTCTTCACATACTCACGTGGGTTGTACATTTGTTTGTTTTCCACATGATCAGGAGCATGTCAGACACAAGACTGTCACAGGGTAGTCAACTCCTTCATTTAAGGTCTATCAGCCTCTTACTAAACTTGACTCGAAGGCTGAGGTTAATACATAGTTAATAAATAGGGAGAGGATACAACAGGCTAACGAAACTTTGGAAGAAATGTTTCAGACTGTGAAGAACTGGTGAAGGCTGAAACAAGTGGGGTTTGTTTCAGCTTATTCTACTGGTTTCTCCAATGACACAGCTGGAAAGGGGGCTTTGAGAATGTTCCGCAGTGTTCCTCTTTGGCCAGTGCTGAGGCCAGGGGTTGACAGTCTCCAGGTAGGCAGAGATGCTGACTGAGTGTCACAGGTTAGAGCTGGGATCAAGGAGAACTGTGAAGGACTCTACCCCCAGACAGAACATTTGCAGGACCTTTACTGAGAAGAGCAGGAAAAACAGCTGGAATTGCTGAGCCCCAAGAGGAAAACTGAGGAAGGAAATGTTGGAAATAGTTGTTTGCATGTGAGGCTCTTAGAAGAGGTGAAAAATACTTAGCTCCTTGACTTGCAGCAAAATGGCTAGAGAGCACTCTCTCCTGTTCAGGGGCGCTGCTCAGGGAGCTCTGCCTTCCTCCAGCACCAGTGCTGTTGAGTTTCTGGTAAAAGCCTCATGGCCTTCAGACTGAAAGCGTTCAGTGATACTAAAACCAAGCTGAGTTCATTTCAGCCAAAGTCAAAAATGAATAACGAGAAAACAGTCCCGTTTAATGCTCCTTCACTTATTTTTCACTTTAAGGACCATAGATATCCCACAGCCACTGAGCTCCTTCGAGCTGGAAGAGTCCTATTCCAACAGCCACTTAAATCGTCTCAGAACCTGTGAGAGATTTTTTTCCCTTAAAATCCCAATGGCTCCTTCCTTTATTAATACACAAAGATTTTGGCTTTCTTTTGAAAACAAATGGCCTTTATATAAGTAAAAGAAAGCTTAAAGGTACAAACACTAGAAGTTTCAAAACCAGTAATCATTTCCTCAGTCTTCAACACTTGGCACTGGTGACAGTGACAACATCCAACAGTGTAAGACCTGTGCAAGTGAGACACTGAGTAAGATTAAGCTGCCCATCTATATAACATGAATCTTCTTTTTGAAAAGAGTGATTTTATGCAACAGGGGAGAAGGAAAGGCTCTGTAGCTCTGTAGGCACCAGAAGAGTGTGACCTGGCTTGCTTTCTGGGATGGAAACATCTACAAGAGGATTCTGCGTAGATCCCCTGTCATCTAACAAGCTGCACACTCATACGCACTGAGCATGTCAAGGCTCTATCCTTGCTGCCTACTCTCACTGGCAGAAACTCGATCAAATTGAATTCTCTATTCCTTTTTTAAACTTGCCAGGACTAATTGTATAAGCAACTTTTCTTTCAGTAAAAAAACAGACTCCGAGGTCCCCAGCTGGTTTCTAACAAGAAACTGAAAATCTGAGCTGCTGTCTCCCCCCAGTGTCAGCATATTTTCTAGTACAAGGCTGCAACTGTGGCACATAGGATGCCCAGGGATAAAAAAAAACCTGCTGTAACCCATGCGGTAATAGCATAGATCAAAACTCTACCCTGGTATGTCAGAGAACAGAGATTGGTTCAGCTTTGGGGATGGATAAGATCTCTTCTTATTTTGGAAATCACAAACTTAAGGGGTTATCTATGCTGTAGTACTACTCCAAAGTTAAGGAAGAAAGCAGCCAGTTTGGACCAGACTTGCAGTCTTACACATACAAAGGTTTTCTGGTTTCGCTGTAGAGGCAAAAAAGGTGGTGAAGTGGAGGACTTCTGAGGAGACTTCTCACAGTTGCTTTCTCTCCCATTCAAGCCAGGAACAAAAAAGAGGCTCCTTGTGTTAATTCCCTTCTTGCACATGTTTGGCAGTGTGATTGCCAGTCTTGATTGCTTTGGGTGCTAAATGGTGCCCAGCTGGTGCCCAATTGCTTTGATGCTAAATGACTTGCTTTAAAGTCAGATTGTGTACCTCTAATTTTGTTTACAGACCAACTGTATTAAGGTAGAGAGTACCTCTGCTTTCAGTCTAAAAAAAAAACAAACAAAAAAAAGGTCGTTATTACTATTGGTCTAAAAAAAAAATCTACTCTTGGTTGAGAGTCTAAAAAAATCTAGAGTGGGGCCAATATTCAAAGGCAACTGGCGACTGCACAGAGCAAAGACACTGCTTACTTTGAAACTGGTGGACACTACACAGGCCTGACACTTTCCTGTTAAGGCTTGGGCGTGTGGCTTAGCTAAAGTACCTTGGTGCGTTTCCCTCTATAGCTGTTTAATGGAGGTGGTTAGCAGAGCCTGTTCTTGCTGAACACCACAGAGCCACTTCATTAAATAACCATTCCGTTCCACCTTTGCAGATGACTGCTGAGACTGTAGAGAGAAACTGCTGTTTTACAATGGCACTGAGAATTCCCTAGACTGGCAGTCCTGAGGCTGCCGTAGCAAGGATATGGCTCTATCCCGGGAATGGGTTTCTGCAGTACTTGTATTCCTCAGTCACCAAGGTGACCGCATGAACAGCAAGATTTTAAAAATCACTGCAGGTCTCGGTGAGTAACTCCACCAGAGCGAGAGCTCTCTGAGCATCAGCCGTATCAGCTGCACACAAGCTTACGTCAGGTAGAGCCTGCGAGATGGGCTCTGCAGCAGCTGTGCTGGTGGGACCACAGCAGGCACCTCAGCCCGCAGCTGCAGGGAGAGGGCAGGAGCGAGCCATCCCAGAGGCCTCCCACATCCTGTTGGACTCCCAAGGCTTCTCCAAAAGCCCTCCACCTCTCTCCTAATCCCCCCCAACACCCCCACCCCACTGTCCAATCTCAGTTTCACCTTAACGGCCAGAAGTAACAAGGATCTAGGAAGTGCTTTATAAGGGAAACGTGAAGGGAAACGTGAAGGCAAACGTACCTTTTGGCACTGCTACACATGCCTAAGCATTTATTTCTGTGAAAAAAATCTATTCTGTTGATTGACCTACCATGACCAAGTTAGCTTATCCTCCCGGATTTGATGTTATTGCACATGCAGGAACAGCAAGAAAGGGTAATGAAAACCTACTCTGCTTCGTAGGTTGAGTAGTAAACAGAGCCATATACAGTTCTCAGATACTGTGCGTAGCAATATAATAAACCTCCTAGCATGAAACATCCAGTGATATGCATTAATCAAAGGAAATCCTAGGTGCATAAAGTGGTTTGAGAAAGACCTGCCCAGAAAAGCTCCTTTCTTTCTTCATCTGGATTCAACAAAGGGCTCACAAGTCTCAGATGTACGCCCTTGCAGGAAGCAGTTGCTCTGAAGAAGCTGCACAGAGCCCTCCCCATTTTCTTCTGTCTGTCCATGAACCTTGTACACACCCATGATGGATTCAGAATGTTTTTCCCTTTAAAACCAGCCACCTTCTTGCAGCTAATCTTTAAAAACTGCCTCCCCTGCAGCTCTGACTGTAACATCTGAGTAAGCAGCAACCAAGGCCATTACATTTTTTTTTACAAAGGATTTTTTATTGCATAGAGGCTTAGATATTTTGCTGTACGTATAAAAATTTGAGATACAGTTTAAGTGAATGTTACTCTTGAGGGTTTTATTCCTTTGACACATCCTTCATCTACAGGAAGGCTTCGTTCTCCCAGGAAAGGAATCCAATGCAAGCTGCCAAGTGTCAGAAAATCTGCAGGGTGGGGAAACAGCAGTGAGAACAGCAGGCATGATATGCTGGCAGCACATGGGCTAAATCTGCCTGCCCATGTGGCACGCTGCAATGCAGTGCTGACACAGGAGAACATTTTTAGGGTAGGAGAATTCACCCCTTCTCACAATTCCATTACAGAAAGACATGGCTGTCAGCCTGAGAGATGGCAGAATTTAGGAAGGAACTGGGCCTCTGGTGAGCAACACTAGGTGACTGGGCAAGTAGGGTATTTTCCACAAAACCAGAGATGCTTTAATGCCAAGTGTTCAACAAGGTCAGCGTCACATACTGGACACAAGGGCCTTGTGAGATGAGCTCGTTGCCCTGGTGCAGCAATGCCCTGGGCTGTGGACTCTGCCAAGCAGAATTCCCCGGGGCTCAGCACTGCACACACAACACAGTATGGTCTCCTCATTACAAGTAGCAGGCTTGTCCACTCACAGGGCAGCCCATCTCTCATTTGTTTAGCAATAAAACGCCATATAACTTACTCTTACTTATTCTGCAAAACCAGGAAGAAGTGTTCTCACAGCATTTTCCAGTGACTAGCAAAACCAGTTTAAAATAAAAGTTTAAAATGTCACAAGTCTTCCCAGAGAGAATTCCTCAATCTGATGTAAACAGGAGACTGAAAAACACCTTTGTTTTGTTGGTTTTACTATGTGAATGAACCACTTTGTTCCCATGGTTATTTCCAGGGCCCCATTCCTAGTCAGAATTTCCAATCCTTGTTGCACAAAATAAAAGTGACAGGTCTGAAATCAAAGCTTAGTAAACATTTCTAAAAACCAAAACTCTCTTCATATGTGAGGTGATGACCTCAAAGGGGAAAGTAAGTTTTTTAGTTTATTAAAGAGTAACATTACATCAAACTCCCACTGAGCTTACAAAGGGCAGGCAGGAATAGAATTCCTATTTTGCTGCAGAACAGAGAGATGTGAAACGAACTGATACAAAAATCACATACCAAACAAGTCGGGGAATATAATCCTAGAACTAGGCAGTACTCACTTTGCTAATGGACTTGATCCAATAAAGCAATGATTGCTTAAACTCTGAAAACAGGGAAGGAATTCAACACAAGGGGAGTGAAAACCCAAAACTTTAATGAATTTTGTAAAGTTCATTTTGTTCTTTTATGCAGAAAGATGTCCATTTTTCTCAGTGGAATATGGTGGATGTTACATAGCATAACCTGTAGCATATCTGTTACCTTGGGAAGTTCCAAGGCATAAGATTTGGTGCTTCGAGCTAAACCATCTATAACTTGTCATGTATTTAACTAACATGGAATGGCTGATTCTTTTCTATCTTTCTATCATGTGACCTAAGGCCAAGAGGTATTATTGTGTCATCCTGTCTGGCATGCCTCTCATGCATTTTTTTCCCAATTTAACCATCTCTTTACACATCAGGACTTCCTGTGCAATTGGTTGGGTGTAAAAATTCAGGTAGATTAAGAGCAGAGAAGGAATACTGTGATAAGACCTCCTAAACCATGAACGATGGCTGCCAAGTTTCCTGGTGGTAACTGCAATTCCTGCAAAGAATAGGGATGATACGGGTGTGCAAATACACTGAAACATCACAGGAGACAAATATTACAAGAACTCAGATAATGGTGATAGTTCAAACTGCACCCAAATCAAAACATAATTGGATTAATATGTCAATGCCATTATTGAACACCAGGATGTCGAATAAATTCTATACCTGAGAGATTCTTCAATCATCCTTCTTCACTTGTGTTTTCAATTTCTCTTCACGTTCCTTCTTCAGTTTTTCTTCAATTTTTTTGCTCTGGTACATTTTTACTCCAGCAAATGCTAAGCAAAGAATCAATGTTTTAGCTGCCAAAATGTACATCAGCAATGGGAAATTCTCCAAAGCCTGAAATGCAAAATAATATATTTAAGCGGTTACTGGAACACTTGGACAATTAAAAATGAATCTACAGGGATGCTATACAGCCTCCTTACAACAACAGCATTATTCAGAGCAATGGTAATGCTCCTCTGTTCATGCTTTTTTTTGCTCATAGGAAACTTTAAGCCAGGCAGATCACTATATAGGGGAAAGGACAAAACGAAGTTCATTCAAGTTTGTATATGAAGCCCCTTTGAACAGGTATTTGTGGCTTTTGCTCGTTTAACAGCAAATGGAATACACCCATGATCTGGAGCTGAAAAGGGGGAAGAATTGAGTATCTTAGGATAATTGTAAAAGAGGAAACTTTGAACAATTCTCACATGAGCCAAGGATCCATGCATATCAGATATCAGATGTGATCCCCCAAAACACTTTTGTGTTCCTAGAAATTCTAATCCATGGTATTTTTGCAATTAACTTCCCCAGATCTGCAAGGTGTAGATAAATGCCTTTAAACTGGAAGAAAAGTAAAAGACCAATGATTCAGTTCCAGGAGTTTTTAATGCCTGGAACCACTGATATTGCACAACATATTTTAATGTTTTAAAAGTATGCTACTGTAAGTGCACATGGAGTGGAAAATAAAATGCAGATGGCCAACACTGTGAACTCAAACTACAAATACAATGAGAACGGCACTGGCACTCAATGAAAGATGTCAATTCCAGAAGGATGTTGAAGGCACATGCACTTCCCAGGCCACTGTTTCAAAAGGCCACCTTGCCAGTAGGATTGGTCTGGTCTTTAAGGGGTGCACAGCAGGTTCACAATGCCAGCTTCCCCTCAGCAAGCTTCCCAGTGGCCCCCCTGATCCCTTGGCAGGCCTTCCAGTATTTCATAAAGCTGTTTGCCCATTGTCAAACTACTGAACTTAGAAAAAGCCTGATATCCACCTTCCCCTCTAATGGGTATGTCCCCTTAAAGTCCATGAATCAGAGGCTCAAGTGGGGTCTTTTATGACACTGATCTCTACAAGATGCATATTACCTTTGACATCAGGCCACTCCCCTCTAATTCTGCAAAAAATCACCATCCTCTGTAATCTCCCCACATATTAAAAGTTGCAATCTCTTTAAATCACAGCTTTGCAACACCAGAAAGGTAAAGCCAAGGCTCGGGGTTAGCACTGCTTTCTTGATAAATGGTTTGATTTAACATGCTAAAATTGTTAATGCAGGAAGTACTTGCTCAAACACTTCTGTGCCTTATACACAAACCCTGCTGAGCGTTTATGGCCCCAATACCCTAAAAGACATAGTGGAGAAAGCACCCTCCAGTAACAAAGAGCTGAACAACCAGCCTGAGAAAAGCCCAGAAAGAGGAAAGTCAGGAGGAGCAGAGGCAAGCAGAGCAGAGCCTGCCTACCAGTGGCTGTGCTCAGGTCTGAAGTGTGAGGCCCCAACAGCAAGTACTGGGGCCAGTGCACAAGGTGCAAGTACATATGGCAAGAAAAAACAACGAGTCCTCTGTCCCTGAGGTGCAGAGAGTGTGGTGGTTAAACAACCTTCACCTAGGCAAGGAAACCATCTTTAAACACAGGACCCACCCAACCACATCTTACATGCATCTGCTTGAAAAAGCAGAAATCCCCTCCTTTATGAATGTGAAACATCCTCACCTTCCAGTTAAATGCCACCATCTTGGCTGCGTGATGATACTGCCTGTCTTGCAGTAGGACGTGCCCAGCACCGATGAGTGTCACGCTTCTAAAGGCACAGACTGGGGCAGGAGCATCTTGAATAAATGGAAATTTAAAAAGAATTAGCCAATCTGTTTCTACTCAGTGTGTCCACCCTGCACCTCTCTGACAAGCTCATCTGTTGCACAGCGCCTGGCAGCCTACCAGTGCCACACAGTTTAGGAATGACCTACACGGGCCTTTTTGGAGTTGAGTGACAGGAGCAACGTCCGTGCTGCTGAAGATCAGGAGTTTGACAGGCCCCGGGCAGGTGCCACACTTGCGCAGAGCAGAGGCTGGGCTTCCACCACACGCAGCACGTCCCAGCAGCTGCCCAACCAAAAACACAGTGCTGGCTGCTTTCGAAGGCTTGACACGTGTGTGCATCACACCCCCTCACTGATGTTTGAGATCAAGCAGACAGAAGTGCACCCAGAAGAGCTGTCTTGTGGTTTTTAAGCCCAACTGCCCTGTTTGGAGCCTGAATGCCTAATGAATTCTAGTGTGTAGTATAATTTACCAGTTCTCTCTGATTTACCAATAAACTAAGTTCTCCACACAGCCCACAATAACACAGAAGCAAACCAACCAGTTGTATGTTTGGTGATCGACCTACGTTTCCAAGCTGAACTTCAGGGCCAAGAAATGCCCGAGGGGATGCTGAAGGCTGCAGTGTGCAGCCACAACACTGCCATCCAGTCTCTGCTTGGTGCTCCACCAGCACTGACACTGTTTCAGCTGCTGGATTTCAACTTAGGCATGTTTCCCTGCCTGACCCCCTCGAGGTGTCTCCCGTATGTTTAACAACAGAGTCGCTATCAAAAGGCAGGAGGAAGCCCTACAGCTTAGTCCAAACCTCCACCAGCAGCTGGGCTGAATAAATCACCACCACACCACAAAAGCTGCTGCTGACCTTTCTTCAGAAACAAGAAGTCAAGTTAAATGTTCTCGCAGCTCCTGTGCTGCTCAACCAGCTTCTTCAGAGATGCCCTTATTTCTTCTGCTAGGGCATCCTCTTCTCTCCTCCCAGCTGCAAAATCCTCACCCTGCAGACCACTCTGGAAACATCCCCACGGAGAGACACCACTGGAGATCTCTGTTACCAAGATCGAAGTATATGGAAGCAGTGGCATGGCCAACTTGTTTGTTATTCAATATTTACTGTGTTGATCCGGAGTTGTGCAGCTCCCTTCTGCTGTTGATAAAATGTCAGGGCAGCTGTGAATGAATGAGTCAGTAGTGTTACACCTCCAAAAAGAAAGTCATTTTAACTTCTGATGTTTCCTCCAGAATTTCAGTGACCATTATGATTTGAAGGCCCCTGCCAGATGGCTGCAACAAAAACCCCAAATCAGAGCAGAATCTGGCTCTCAGTGCACGGTTCGGACAGCTACATGCTTCTCAATGAAACCCCAGTTACACAAGCCTGGCCTGATCTGAATGGACTGCACTGCCCAACTGGGGTGTCCTCAGAATGCTGACTTGGGTGGGAGCTGTATGAGACACAGTCTTCACTCTTCTCCTAAATTGCTATAAATCCTGCGCTTCAGTCAGAATCAATTTTGCAACATGTTGTAAAAAGGCAAGAATTCAGCCATTCAGACAGGCTAGCATCTGGTGTATGATGCTGAAAATTGTGTTTTAGTCATTTTTTACATACAGAAAAAGTTTTAGACTCAGCAAATGTTATGTGAGCCCATCTGTGGGGTGTGATTGCAGGGTACTGTCCCACCAGCAAGAAGTGGCATATAATGTGTATCACAGTGTGCACTCCTGCAAATGCTCTTGGTTGCAAGTTGATTATTTAAGCATTCAGCGCAACACTTCTGTAACATTTCCGCTCTGCTGAGACACGAGCCTGAATTGTATCCACTAGGAGTAGCTGCACTGAAGTCACAAAGGACGGGAAGTAAAGAAATTCTCCCTTTGTTCTGAAGAGTGGTGTTTTGATGCAAAACGTTTCCTGTGAGAGCTGACACTTTTGATGGTCTGTCCTCACGGTGTCTTTTGTGGTTGGAACTGAGCTCTCCATGTTGCATTCCCACATCCTGTGCCACCAGCCTCCAGTAGTCAAGCAGTTCTATCCATTTGAGCTCTTGACTCTTCTGGTCTCCATCTCTATCCAGACCTTATTAAATACAGCTGAAACCCCAGAGTGGGAAAAAATGGGTGGAGCTGGGGCAGAGGGCAAAGAGAAGTAAGTGGGCGGAGGATAGAAAAAGGCAGGATTCGCTTCACATTTGAAAAGCACCATTTGTTAGCACTGAGGTTGTCAGTTCAAAAGCAAAAAGCTCAGACACTGTACTTTCAAGGTTGTGATATCTTAAAAGCATGCAGGCAAATAAATATCTGAATGTTCATGTTTGCCTTTTCAGAGGCAGATAAGGCACAGATAGGAGTACAGAACACACCTACAGTCAGGCATTGTTTGTTCCCCAAGAAAATGCAAGCTCCCTTAACAAACACAGCACAGGGAACACAGGCAACAGAGACTGGGCCCCAGGGAAGGTCGCTATTACCTTCACTCACAAGCAAGGAGGTTTCGTGTTGAGCCACATGAGAAAGAAACAGGAGCACTAGGCTCTGCCTGAAGCTCTGATGGAGACTCTGTGACAGACGCTCCATAAGCTGTCCATCACCTACTTGTAGACTCCTATGCAGAGTAGGGATAAAACAGCATCACTCTCACACGTATCAGTGGCTTTCACTGTGATTGCACCTCAATCACGAGCCTATTTACACTCAAACCTCCCCTGTGAAGCAAATCTAACTACTACAGATGGAAAAGGAAGAGGGGGTCTGCCCGTATCGCACATCTTAGAACTGTACTAGCAATCCGCTGTTAGCTCCAAATGCTTTGAGGTCTTCTGGGTCCAGAGCAAGGAGACAGGGTCACCAATGTAGCCCTAGAGGCTTGTGTCCTCAGCAGGGCTAAAGAGCTTCCAGGGAGAGCTGCACCCAGTCCCAGAGCTTTAGCTGATAACAGCCCCAGGATCTCTGTACAACACTGTGTTGTGCAACACCGACCACCCCAGACAGACTAAGGAGTTGGGCCCCAGTCAGATGGGAAGTCTGTGGTGGAGCACAGAATTGAATCCAGGTCTCTCAGCCACTGAATTACAGCTTCAGTCCACCACAGCAACCACATCACAGCCCAGCCACTCACGCCATTGTTTGCTTATGCAGCGGCAGAGCATCGACTCGCCTGCATGCACCAGAAAACATCTACACAGGCATCTGGGTACTCACAAACCCACTTGAGTTGTCTTGGCTGAACATTTCACTCAGCCTGCCAGTAACTCCATCTACTCAACAAAATGGGACTTGAGTTATTGTCTACTGGGGATTTCTGAGCAACTCCATTTTATCCACTTTCTGAAAAGCTGTAAAAAGTCACCAGCCACAAGGCCTCAGAAAGCTGTGAGCTACTAAGATTATTTGACTGCATTTAAAATGGAATTGATGGCTGAATACATCCTGAGCTTAGAAATAGGGTTTCACTCCACGTGTTTCTTGGTGCTGCTTTAGCACACATATTTCAGGAAGCAAAATGCATGCCTGCCGTACGGACAGTCACTGGAGGACCCACCATTACATGGGACCAGCTGTGTGACGCATCAGGCTGAGCATCTGCAAGACAGGATCCAGCCTCCTCAAAAAAAAAAAAAAAAAAAGGCTACGGGGTCATGGGAAACATGGGAAAACATAGTAATATGTCAAAACGCAAAGGCTGCAGAGAAATGCAGTGGAAACAACTATGAGCCAGAGCTGCTGCACTAACAATACATCACAAACCACTGCCACAAAACTCAGTGCTTATTAAGTCAGAAGCACTCGGACCTGTGCACATTTACAGCCTCTATGTGCAGGTGGGTCAAGACATCACTCCACAAAAAGACCTGGGTAATCACTTGTTTTATTCTAGTGTCATCGATACAGAATCCTAAACTAACACCAACTCAAGGAACATCAAAAATATAAAGCTAAGATCTTCATACCTGAAAAAGCAGAAAATTAAAAAATTAGTGATTCCTCTGTCAGCTCCTCACATGTTTCAAACTCTGTAAAATAACAACAGAGCAGATGGGATGTATCAGTCGTGGTATCTGGATTAAAATCAAATCACAACTAAAAATGTCAGTGGCACATCAGACTGTTCCACCGCGGCTCCCGGTGCATCATTCCAGCCATGTCCTAGGGCTCCTGCAATCTGCAGGGACTCACCTGCTGCCACAACCTTGCCCCAGGAGGGTCTGATGGGCTGGCAGCCTCCCCTGACTCCATCCCTTCGCTTCCCTTACCCAGCCCTGCTCTGCCCTGGGCACCTTTCCTGGTCCCTGCAGCACCGGGAGACCAGCACAGCCAGCAACCCACACACACTTGAGGTAACCAAACTGTCAATAAATGATAACTTCAGGTCGCTCCTTACTTATTTGCCTCATTTTTTCTTAAGAAGACATAAAGACTCGGCAGATTCCTAGGCGGTAAGGCGCCCTTCCCGGCGGCCGTTGTGAATCGCGCCCTGCGGCCACACGCCGGGAGGCGGCCGCAGCGGGCCTGCCCGCGGCTTCGGGCCAGACAGCGCCTCCCCAGCGACTCTTA